TCATTTATCACGTCCCTTCCCTGTCTTAATTAGCCTGAGATGTTGTGAGTGCCAGAATTGTGCTGGGGAAGAGATGGACATTCATTTAACTGATTGCTGGCGTGTGGGGGTCTTCCCCCACCCCTGACTCCCTCCAGCTCGGCAGGCAGCAGGTTGCAGCCTATTCCAGGCCAGAGAGTCAGCTTGGACATCAGGTCCAAAATTACCCCAAGTGGGGCCAGATCCCCTTGGTTTGCTTGGGGACAGGGGTGGTTCTGCTGATACATTTGATTGCGTCAAGCTTGTGTTTTATTCAGACATAACACAGTGCCGTGCAAGGAGCATCATTCCCACCTCTGTTTCAGGGGGTGACTTCATTGTGCTGGGCTATTTACGGCCTCCTCATCACAGCAGAGCCAGGACCAGTCATTAATTTGCTGTTATGACTTAATGATACCGAGAGACAAAGCAATGACAACGACAGCCAACTTTGTTCTTGGCTCCTGTCTCCTCCCTGGCGTGACGGCGGGGATGAGCCGCAGGGCTGAGTCACTGGCAGTTTGCAAACAGCTGGTCTGTGGATATTGTCTGCTGGGACATTCACCCCGTGATGCCATATTCCTCCTATAACGCCACCTGATTGCACCTGTGATCTGCTTCGACCAACAGGCACAAGCACCTCAGGGTTAGGTTTTCCAGCTCGTGATCCCCAGTGCTGGCATCTCTTTGAAGATTGTCTCCTGCAAGGCTGAGAAATCCCGGATCGGGCATGTGGCCAAGTGCAACTGGTCAGAGGGACTTTGCACCCCTAGCATTGCCCCCAGTGCTCCTGGGATGAGCAAATGCAACTCGACATCACCTTCTCAATGCACACAAGCTCTTTTCTCCCCAGGTCGGGCCATGTTAAGGACCTAGATAGAGGTGCTCAGGGCTGCCATCCTCCCTAGACGTCAGGCTGGTGTGAAAGGAGGAAGTGGCCAGAAAATTATGGTGGATCTGTGCCTCATTTGCTCACAGCCCCTTGAGGGACTAGGGTCTGAAGCTGTCAAGAGCTGGGGTCTAGCATAGGAGGTCTCCATCAAACTTCTTTGGTCCTAAATTACCTCGGCCTCCTCTCGCAAGCAGACTCCTGGGTATCAGGAAGCTTTGGGTCATGTTGGCTGGATTGCAGCGAGCCCAGGGGAGCTGCCCCGGCTGAGGATGCAATTGCAGCTCTATGTTTCCATTAGGTTATTTGGTTTCCCTGTGCCCCTGGCAGAGGGACAGCCAGACACCTATAGGAGTAACCAGGCCTATTTTCATTTATGGGTTTTTTCCAGGCTTCTGGGCTTTGCTGGTTGCCTCTGCCCCCACTTTCTGCTCCATGTGTCAGGGGCTTTTTAAGCCTCCTCTAGGGGTGCTGGCCACTGGGCTGTGCCAATCCTCCTGAACTATCCCTCCCACTCCTTCATGCCCCTCAGCCAGGGTTTCTTTCCCTGACTCCGCTGCCTTTCCTCCCCGGAGGAACCTAGGTAGAAACCCCAGCAGGGAACGACCTTCTTCCCACCCAGCCATAGGCAAAGCCATCAGCGCCCAGAGCTGGGGATAAGGGATGTAGCTGGGGAGCAGCGAGAGGGCACGAGCATCACGCACGTACAGGCCTGCAGACGTCTCCGCGGTCTCCCCCCGGGCTTGCCTGTGCTTTCTGGAGAGCAGTGCTTAATGAGCAGGGAGAGGCCATGGCTATAAAGTAAGGTAGTCTCGTCCCCGGGGGACGGTTAAAGCCAGTCAATATTTATGAAGCTTTTAGTCTGACTCATGCAATTTATTCTCCACGCCCCCCATCATCTACGTGCCTGTCTTCTGGCCTCAGCTGCTGCTCAGCCCACGGCGGCTCTGAAGCGAGGCACTTGGCATGCACTGAATCCTTGTGGCTCTGCCAGGAGGAGAGGAGGAGCGCCGGTCCCCAACACCATGCCATGCAGTGCCACAAGGGGGTCTCCACATCCCGGGCTCTGTCTGGAGTGGAGCAAGGCCTAGTGCTTATAGCAAAGGAGGGGCAGGAAGGGGAGAGGGGTTCTCCTCCTGGTTCCTCAATGAGTCTATGGGTGGATCTAGGATTTTGCAAAGGCTGCATGCACACCTAACCTTGCTAACAATGAGCACCCAGGAAAGGCTCCCAAGGCACCCCAGGGTAATGGGACATCCCAGCTGAGAATCACTGCTCACGGGCAAGGTAAGATCTTCCCCCAGGGGCATCTGTTGGTGGAACTGCCAGCAAGATGTGCCATTGCTCACTTGACCATGCATGCCAAGCCTCTCCCCCGCTCCCCTTTGCACCATGCCAGCCCTTCAAGATCTTTTCTCCTGTTTGCTAATGCCATGTCCTGCCAGCTGCCTTCCCCCCAGCTCAGCTCAGAGGATCTCTGCTGCTGCCCTCAGATTGCTCTAGTCTAACAAACCCTGCTCAGCGTCCCATGGCCAAGGCCAGGTCTGCGCTGCACATCAGAGGGCTCTTTCCAGATGAAATCCCCTGCACAGACCCAGCTATGGGGATGCACTGTGGGCTACCAGTGCCTCAGCCAGGGATACCTTCAGTGCATTTCATTCCCAGCTGGATTTCTATCTTGACTCTAGAGCAGGAAACACAAGGTCCAGATCGGCTTATAAACAGTCACACAGGTAGATGCAGAAAGCCTCGAGCCAGTATTTCGACCTGAGCACATCTCTGCCCCAAAAATGTGGTCTGTGTCTTCTCCTGGATGTGGCAATAGGTGACTAGATCTGCAATGGGCCAGCCCCATGCCCTGCGCATGAGAGCCACTGGATCTGAGGCTGTTCTCAACCAGGATAAAGCTGGACTGGTCTCAGTGGTGACAGGACAAGGAGCAATGGGCATGGGTTGCAGCAAGAGAAGTTGAGGTTGGATATTAGGAAAAACTCTCTCACTTGGCGGGTAGTAAAACACTGGAACAGGTTACCCAGAGAGGTGCTGCAGTCTCCATCCTTGGAGGTTTTTAAGGCCCAGGTAGACAAAGCCTTGGCTGGGATGATGGAGTTGGGGCTGGTCCTGCCTGAAGCAGGGGGTTGGACTACATGTGATGTGACCCCCTGAGCTCCCTTCAACCCTCGTTTTCTACGATTCTCTGAATCTAAGATGTAGACAGACAATTCAGGCTGAAATACGGTGAGAGCCAGTGAGTAAGTCTGAGGCCGCTGCATGGATTGACATCCACCTGGACTTGCTATAAAAGACACAGATTATGTTGATGTTTCATCCAGGCCAAGGTAGAGTTTGGAGCCATCTGAGCCAGACCAGATATCACTCCCTATAACCAAATTCAGGTGACGGGCAGGCCACACCTGTCTCCCTGGCACCTCAGCACTTTCCACCGCACTTTAAGTGATGTGACCAACATCCCTTGCCCCCTGTTTCTGTCCTTCTGCTCCACAGATGAACCAGCAAGATTCATAGGAGACGAAAGAAGAGAAAATGCAGTCCGTGACAGATGCACCATCTCAATCCCTAGTGCCCATTTCTATTAATAAAGACCATCTTGGCCAGGCATCCAGGTGCTTTTATTAATGAGAAACGTAACCCTTTGAACACTGGGTGTTCCCAGGGGCCTGCTTTAAAAATCAGCCCCAAACCATGTAGGTAGAGCCGTAGACACGATTTTGTAGCTAATTAGCACATGCAGCCTTGATGATAGCCTACGCAAATGCCTGATTCATATAGGCAAGCATGGTAAGTACAGCCACATGCCTGAGGAGTCAGGATGTAGGAAAACCCTTCTGCCTTGCCTTCGTCAGGAGTCTGGAAATTATGCTCGTTCTCAGGTTGAACCTTACACGGTTGCTAAACCGGGTTTTCCTGCTGTCCCCTTGCCGATCATGTACAGCACCGCTTTCCTTCTCGGTTCCCACGTCCTTCCCCCTCGTTGGGTGGTGAGCCTCACACCATGCCTAGATGCCTCCACTTCCACTTTGCACTTTCCTCCTGATGGGCATGTTCTTGCCAGGTGGCCCTTTATCCCTGTGCCATACGACACTATTAGACACAAGCCACATGGCAGATAACGTACCTGTTGCAGTTTTGCTTTTAAGCATCTTGGTCATGCTTAGCAAGCAGGGCTGGAGCAGGGTCAGCTGGTTGATTCACTGGCCACCAGTGACAGCTTTCCCCTTAGTGTCCATCTTTTGGTTTGCTGGACCTCCCCGAGGCCCTCCTAGCAAATGCTGTGCTGAAACAGCCCTGGCTTTAGGACCATTTCCACTGCTGCTGTTTCCACGTAGCAGAGAGGCCAAACTTCCTGACTCTTCTAGCCACGAACCAAAGTCTTCATGGGAGCAGGAGTTACGTGTACCCAGATGCTGAGATGCACGTGCCCCCGGAGTCCGTGATCGCTGCGCCGTGCCTCCCTGCTTCTCTTCCTTCAGAAGCCACCTTGACACCGTTCATGAGCTGCCCGGGATTTATCACGCGGTTAAAACGCTGTTGTGGTCAGCTAAAGGAGAAACGCCACGTGATCCTCCCTCCTCCTGCATGCTGCGACCAAGGACAGGGGATGGAAGTTGCCCTTGGAGAAGCAGGTGCTGTTAGCTGCTCCGTGCTCTCTCATGATGCATCTGCTCCCCACCCTGCTTTGGGTCTCTCCCCGATATCGCGAGCCAGCCCACTCCCCCTACACTAGCTGGTTCTTCCATGCCGGCCACGGGTGTTGCATCCTGTAACTCTGCATTTCCTGGCTTGGCGAAGGTCTTGGCTCTATTGTTTCAGAGCCGTCCCCTGAAATCCTTCTCCTGAAAAGGAGTGAGGGAAGGAGAGGGGCTTATGCTGTCCTGAGGGATCACAGCACACACATTTGGCAAAGGCATGACGTTGTTGATCAGGAGTTGGTTTGATAGCTGCTATAATCCTTGGATCCTTGCCTGTAAGATCAGTGGCTTCCCAGTTGTTTCCTTCATTTGCACTGATGCTACCGGTGAGTCCTACAGGGATGCAGGACTTGGCACTTAACCATGCCAAATAGCCCGTAGGGTTTTTTTTTTTTTTACCCTTTCTCCCACGTGTCGAGATTATTATAAAGCAGAACTTCAATTCATGACACATCTGGCCGCCCCTGCCAGCACCTGCAGATCTAGCAGCTCTGCTCTCTCTCCCATCTGACAAGTCACTAAGGAAGACGCCGTGTAGCACCAGCCTGAGCACAGACCCCTGACGGAGCCCCGCTCGATGCAGTCTTCCAGCTGGAGTGCGCTGCTGGAAACGGCTCTCAGGGCTGGTTTCCAACCCCTTTTCGTAACCATCTGACAGCCGCTTTCTTCTAAATGCTGTTTCCTCTGCTGGCTAGGAGGATGTCCTGGAAGAGAGAGTCGAAGCCTTACTCAGGTCACAAAGAAAATTCTCTCTCCCCCTCCCAGGAAGCCACACTCCCACTTGGGGCATAAGGACCTGAACACGGGCCTGCTGCATTGATACCCTACCCTCAGCCCTACTGCCTCTCCCAGCAGCGCATGGTAGCATGCAAACAGACACTGCTGAGCTCAGGGGTGGTACTTACCCCCCGTGGGACCCCATTTGGGCTCCGGGGCAACAGCAATCTCCCCTGGGCTGTGCAGCTCCTTTACATGCAGATGTGCATGGGGAAATGCAGAATGTGCATCTGAGGTTTCTTTGGGGGGGGTCAAGATATTCTCTTGCACCCACCACCTGGACCCTACACCAAGCTTTGTGGCTGTCAACGTCCATGCATGGAGAAAGGCCTAATCTGCACCAAGCAAGGGATGTCTAAGCCCATGCGTGGGCTTCCCAGCATGGAGAAAAGACCAGTAAGGGACACCCAGCCTGGGGTGAGGTACTGCCTTCTTCCCCGGAGCAGCCTCATAGCATAGGGTGCAAAGGGTGAAGTGCATCATCATCACCGATAAAACAACCCCGAGGCAGGATCAAACCACCCCAGACAATCCATCACCTAACCTCTCCGTAAAACTACCATCATCCCTGATGCGAGAGAAAGCAGCACGCCCCAACCCGCCCCAGGTAAAGCATGGGACTGCGGCAGCCAACGTCCTGCTATAAACACTCAAGAGATCGCAGAGGAAGGCACCCCCCGAGTCTGAATCGATCTGACCATGGGGTGAAATTCCTTCCTGACCTCAAATGTGACCTCGGTTGGACCCTGAGCAGGAGCCAAGATGCTCTAGCCAGGACCCTCCAGCTTTGGGCCCAGCCCCGTCCCCCACCCCTCCCCCTTAAAACCCCCCCGCCCGCCGCAGAAAGGGGGGGGGGGGCAGCAAAGCCCAGAAACCGGGGCAATTCCCCTAGGCTACAGGTTGTAATTAAAGCCGGATAAAAAACCAGGCATAGAAACGTTGCAGCTTTCCAAGCGCTCCCGTCGCAGCCGATTGCTTTTCTCCTAGCTGGACGGTGACATGTCTGGTGTGATAATGGCCTGGGCGGTTTGCACGGCTTGCACCAGCCAGCCGCCTGCGGGATGTATGTAACGTGGGACAGGGGCCAGCGGCTGTGCAGCCTCTCCGGGCGGGCGGGGCTGGGATGC